AGGAGGTCAAGAGCGTGAGTCATGAGTTTCTTCGTCCACTTCTCATCATCCCATTGTCGCATTCCAGCGGGGAGTAGATCATCGACATGCCTACCTTACTATTCGTCAATCAATCAAAACTAACCATTGATCGCATCTACTTCAGCTCCTGAGCGCAGTTGAAGACCTCCTGATCCCCTTCATCCGCAGCGCGGATTTGGACCCTCTCGCCTCCAACAAATCCCTTTCCCCGAACGACGACAACGAAAATGGCACATCGCTGGTCGAGCACAAAAGACCGGAGGAACTGCAGCGGTTGCTCCAGCTGAGCCTGCCGCAGGAAGGCACGGGTCAGAATGGTCTGGTGGACGTTCTCCGGCAGGTGCTCCGCTACTCGGTCAACACCTGGCACCAGGGGTTCCTCGACAAGCTGTACGCCTCGACCAATGCGCCCGGCGTCGCGTCGGAGCTCATCCTCGCGGCCCTCAACACGAACGTCCACGTCTACCAGGTCTCGCCGGCCCTCACGGTCATCGAGAAGTACACGGGACAGCGTCTGGCGGCGCTGTTCGGGCTCACGGGCCCGCGCGCCGGCGGCATCTCCGTGCAGGGCGGGTCGGCGTCCAACACGACCTCGATCGTGATCGCGCGCAACAACCTGTACCCGGAGACGAAGCGCGAGGGCAACGGGGGCCACCGGTTCGTGCTGTTCACGAGCGCGCACGGGCACTACAGCATCGAGAAGGCGGCGCAGATGCTGGGGCTGGGCAGCAGCGCGGTGTGGGCGGTGCCCGTCGACAAGCAGGGGCGCATGATCCCAGCGGAGCTGGAGCGGCTGATCCAGCAGGCGCTGGCCGAGGGCCGGACCCCGTTCTACGTCAACGCGACGGCCGGCACGACGGTGCTGGGCTCGTTCGACCCGTTCGCCGCGATCGCCGCCCTCTGCAAGCGATACAAGCTCTGGCTGCACGTCGACGGCTCCTGGGGCGGCTCCTTCATCTTCTCGGCGGCGCAGCGCCACAAGCTCGCCGGCGCCGAGCTCGCCGACAGCATCGCCATCAACCCGCACAAGATGCTGGGCGTCCCCGTCACCTGCTCCTTCCTTCTGGCCGCCGACCTGCGCCGCTTCCACCGCGCCAACACCCTCCCCGCCGGCTACCTCTTTCACAACCCGGACACGGCGGCCGAGTCGTCGGAAAGTTCCTCGGAGGAAGAAGAACCGGAGATCGACTCCCCCGAGGTCTGGGACCTGGCCGACCTGACCCTGCAGTGCGGCCGCCGCGCCGACTCCCTCAAGCTCTTCCTGGGCTGGACCTACTACGGCTCCGCCGGCTACGAGCGCCAGATCGACTCCGCCTGCGCCGTCGCCGCCCACCTCGCTACCCTGGTCCAGCACAACCACAACTTCATCCTCGTCAGCGAGAACCCCACCCCGTGCCTGCAGGTCTGCTTCTACTACGCGCCCCAGCGGCAGATGGTCTACCCGCGCGGGCCGGCGGCGACGACAACGGCTGGAGCTGAGGTCGAGAGGGCCAAGGCCAACAGCAAGGTTACGGAGCAGGTGACGCATGCGATCGTCCGCAAAGGGTTCATGGTCGACTTCGCCCCGCCCAGTGGCGATGAGGATGCCGTCGGCGACGGCAAGTTCTTCCGCTGCGTGGTCAACGTGCAGACCGCCAAGGAGACGGTCGAGGCGCTGCTCAGGGCCATCGAGGAGGTCGGCCCCGCCATTGTCGAGAAGTTGAAGGCCCAGGGTCGCTAGAGCCGTGCCGGGCGTCGCTGGGGCCATGGGTTTGTCGTGCATCGTTGATAAGTCCCATTTCTCCCTGCGCGGGTCAGTCCGACTGTAGTTTGAGTGCAACATTCTACAGACTGGTTGGTATATCTCTTTCAGAGTGGCTGTACGTTGGCGTGAGGCTTAGAAGGGAAGACAAACAAAACAAAAACTAATAGAATAGAGCATAGAAATTATAATGTCGTCGCAAGACGCTTGTCAATAGGTTCAAAATACGTTCAATGGATATCTTATGAGTTCAAGTACTTCACCGGCCCGCGATATGCACAACAGGGCCCCCTCTTATGCTCAAGCACTAGTTACCAATCTCGGCTCGCCGCTCCAAGACACTTCTAGCCTCCGCTTCCGTCAACGAGTCGATTCCAAGCTCGGCTAGAACATCTCTTGCGCTCTCATTGTCCTTGAAAAGCCGTTTTTCGACCTCCCAGAGCCCGGCCCGAGCCGGGGGGCCCGCTTCCGTGGGCTCATCCTCCCTCGGGTCTGTGGCGCCATCCAGAGCTGTTGGCTCCGTCGTGCTCAGCCCGAGCAGTAGAAGCGCCTCGCTCAACTTCTTCAGCACTTTCTTAGAGCCGCCAGGCTGGCTCGCCGCGCCTAAAGTGACGTCAACCACACTGCCGAGGTGGTCCATGTCGCTAATGAATTGCAGGGCCCCGGACGCTGAGAACGTGTTCCTCATCAGGATGCTGCTCCACATGAACGTCTGAATCGCGAGAAGAACCTGCCGGGTGATCCGGCGCAAGGGGGCGAATCCCAGGGCTCGGGAGAGGAAGGATAGCTCTGCGGAAATGGTACGCAGGACAGGGGCTAGGTCGGAGGTGGGCGGCAGAGGAGCGCCGTTGGGAGCCGGCGTTGTGGCTGCCAGGGTTGTCCAGGTAGAAACGCGGGAATAAGGCTTCAGAGCGGAGCGCACATTTGATGTTAGCGTGGATGTGATGATCGACTCGGAGCGGAGTCGTAGACGCCGGTATGCGGAAGCAGTCTCGTCGAATAAGGCGCCTTCGGAGGCTGTGCCTTGATCGTCGTCGTTGTGGTGGTTGCTGTTGTTCACAGCCTGGGAAGTGCGCGATGCAACGTCTGCGATAGACATGGAGCCCGCCACGTTCTTGCCCCCGTCCTTATTTAGCCTGACGCGCTCTTGGAGCTCAGCCCAGAGCTCCACAAAGAATACTTCGTTGCTCCAATCTTCCATCTTCTTCTCGAGCCACTCCGCGCTTCCAAAGACTCTGCAAAGTCGCTCAAGTCCAGCCACACCTTCGACGCTGGCCTGTCCGTCCGAGCCCTGCACGGTCCGACCGATAGCTGAGGTCATGGCGAGGTAGGCCTCCAAAGCGGACTGTAGGCGTTCGTGAAATTGGTCGAAGATGGTGATCTGGATGTCGATAAGGAAGCGAAGCTTTTGACTGAACGACGATAAATGCTGGTAACGCTCGGTAATTGTTTCGAGGAGGTCGTTGACACGGATCGCGGCCTTGGTCGGTTTCGTCGACGAGAGCTCAACACCATCGTAGTCGATATTACCACTGTCTGGTGCGTCCACGATTTCTTTGTAGCGAGCTAGCGCGAAGTCCTTCTCAACCTGTAGCCAGCGATCAAACCAACCCTGCTTGGTCAGGACCTCCCACGTCACACCTTTCCAGTCCCCAGCGACATAGGGATCCGGTAAGTAGTTCCAGGATTCGCGGACCTCGCTGTCAAAAGTCATCAATTCGTGCACAAAATGGCTCAGGAGTTGTGGGTGTGTCGATATTTGAGGCATGAAGGTGGCTATCTTGTTCCGCAACACAGGCAAGAGTGCTGTGATAAAGGCATGAGAGGCATTATAGAAGTTCCACTCGAGGTCGGTTTCGACCTGTTTCGCCTTTTCTTCGAATATAGGCTGCAAGAACGAGGCGAAGAAACTCCCGAAGTTGTTCATCAGATCCGTGATATGAGCTAAAAAGTATTCCGGCTGCGACTCTTAGACTCATGATTTTCAACACGGTAGTTGTACGGGATAGTACGGTACCTTGTCAAGCCTGTTCGTCGGCTTATCCCCGCTGAAGTGGTATTTAAACCGAAGTTCCAGCGGATGCACCATCACCTCGAGCGGCAACAGCACCGGAGGCTCAGCGCATTGATGCTCGGGCACAGAAGCGCGGCCAGTAAGCTCACTATACCATTTGTGTTAGAGCATGAACCGCTTTCCGCAACCAGAATTCAATAAAGGCGTACGGTATCTGCAAGTCGAGGAGCAATCCGAAGTTCTCCCTCCACTCCAATTGAACATCATCCGGGAACTGCAAGTCTTTCGAAGGCCACTTCATGCGGTCCATCGTTCCTTGCAGCCGCTGCGAGAAATGGCTCTTCATTTGCTCTCTGAGCGCCGAAACCAACTTCCCCACATAATCGACCAAGTGAGGGGCAGCCCCTTCTGCTGCCGGCTGGGCCTCGTGCAATGATCGAGAGATGTTGCGAAGCCGAGTATATGATTGAATCGCCAACCTGGGATCACTTCCGGTATCTTTCAAGGCTTGCTGGCTGTATGCAGTTTTAGCAGTTGAAGCACAGAAGGCAACTTGAAGCTATTTCCCCACCTTAACTCCTCCGCTTCCTTCAATACAGTCATGTAGCCCCTAGAAATCTCAAGCCTCCGCAGCTTTTCGATGCTAGCCTCGAACCGCTTGGCCGCATCATCGCTGGAGTCGGACCCAGCGATTGCTTTCAGGCGCCTGTCAATATCCTCTTGCTGCACGTTGAATGCTTCGGCTCGCTGGCGAGTAGCTTCGGCGTGGTCGTTGGAGGCCTTGGTGGCATTGGAGAGAGCTTCTTGTGCTTCAGCTAACTATTTCGAGCCCTTCGTTAGCATAATGAAAGGCAAGGTGAGGTATAGTATGGCCGTTGAAGCAAAGGGCCTAAGCAATGTACCTGCTTGCGTTGCAGCTCATGCTGGGCTCGTAGACTCGACAACAAGGAGTCGAGGCTCTCTAAATCAGCAGAAACCTGAAGTTTATCGTTCAAATAATCCTCCACTCTTGTCCTCTCATGCGATGACAAGGCAGATGCAGAAGTGGCCATTCTTCGCGAAGTGAGATATTGTTTTGGAGAAGTTGGCGGGGGAAAAAGTACAGCGTGGAGTCGCAAAGTGGACGGCCGCTACGGTGTCTCCAACGGAGAATAGCGGCTGGAAGCTCTGGACTTCCCGCTGCCCGTTCCGTCCAACCAACGTCATCGTTTCCCTCCCGTAGCTCAAGACACTATGAAGCACGTCGCAGCACCTCAAACTCAATGGCTTCTGCTTGACAAGACCTTTGTCCTTAGTCTAACGTGATGGCCAGTCCGGCGAAGAAGCGGAAGAGGGATGACCTCGAATCCTCCGCTCAGCGCAACCGGAGCATAGCGTCATTCTTCCAAGGGCAAGCCAGCAAGCGGGCGGAGAAGACTCAGCAAGCATTGCAGACTCCAGCTGAAACTGAAACACCAGATGAACAGACTCTATCTGACGAGGCTCTTGCTCGCAAGCTTCAGGCTGAGTGGAACCAAGAGATTGCCGCTCCAACATCGCAGGTCGATACTCCCACTAGCGAGCCTACACCGGTGCCGGCGCCGGCGCCTCTAGACTCGGAGGCTACCGACCTGAAACCAACCACTGGACAAAATAAAGGCATCCTATCTCTTCAGTCATCGACGGGAACGGAAGATACGATTTCTCTGGCTGTGCCGTTCGACCAGAGCCCCATCACATTTGACGCGGCCAAATATGCGCAGGAGCTGAAGGGCCACTGGGCCGCGCAGGGAGGCGACGCTACATACGCGCTCTTAACCAGAGCTTTCGTACTTGCGAACGCAACAACCAGTCGTATCAAGATTGTGGATACTCTAGTCAACTTTCTTCGGGTCTTGATTGAAGGCGACCCTTCGAGTGTTCTTCCCGCAGTCTGGCTTGCGACGAATTCCATCTCACCACCGTACGATGAGATAGAGCTAGGCTTAGGCGGATCCTCGATATCTAAGGCTTTGAAGAAGGTTTATGGCCTTAATAGTCAGGGTCTCAAGACCCTTTACGACAAGCACGGCGATGCAGGCGATGTGGCCTTCGAGGCCAAGAAGAGGCAGAGCTTCACCTTGATGAAGCCCAAGCCACTGAGGATCAAGGGCGTGTACCAAGCTCATAAGAAGATTGCCCTGAGTAAAGGAAGTGGAAGCCAGGAGGCCAAGCAGAGGATAGTTGAAAAGCTACTGCAGGACGCTCGTGGTGCAGAGGAGAGTCGATACATTGTTAGGACACTCGTCCAGAATCTGCGCATTGGAGCTGTCAAGACGACAATGCTTATTGCGCTGGCCCGAGCCTTTCTATACTCCAAACCAGAGGGAGCTGAGTTTGCTGTCCAATCTCAACAAGACATGGCGCGTTTGAGGAAGGAAGAACTCGCAGAGGTCTACAGCAATGCAGAGGAAGTTGTCAAGGCATCCTATGCTAGACACCCGAACTACGACGATCTTGTACCATGCCTACTCGAGAGCGGCGTGACAGAGGAACTCCTTGTGCGCTGCGGGCTACAACTACACATTCCCCTCAGGCCGATGCTAGGCAGCATCACGCGTGATCTATCAGACATGTTAACCAAGCTACAAGGGCGAGACTTTGCCTGCGAGTACAAATACGACGGACAACGCGCCCAGGTTCATTGCGACGAGGCGGGTAAGGTGTCCGTCTTCTCTCGCCATCTGGAGAATATGACCGAGAAGTACCCGGATCTCGTGTCTCTTGTGCCCCAGATCCGGGGCGAAGGAGTGTCCAGCTTCATCTTGGAGGGCGAGGTGGTTGCAGTCGATCAGGACACGGGGGATTTGCAAGCCTTCCAAATTCTCACCAACCGCGCGAAAAAGAACGTCGATATAGGCTCCATCAAAGTGAACGTGTGCTTGTTCGCTTTCGACTTGATGTACCTGAATGGACAACCACTGTTGGATCGCTCATTCCGCGAGCGTAGAGAGCTCCTGCGGAGTCTATTTGTCGAAGTGCCCAAACGGTTCACCTGGGTCAAGAGTCTCGACGCCACATCCGCGGACTCCGAGGCCGTCCTCGAGTTCTTCAAAAGCGCCACCGACATCAAATGCGAAGGAATCATGGTGAAGGTGCTCGACAACGTCCTCAAATCGGACCTCGAGCTGAACGGCACCACCGCGCCGCCCACTGACCCCGCCCCTGGCGAGAAACCCGACCCCAAATCCTCTTCGACATCCAAAGCGGGCGGAGGGCGACGCAAAGCCCTGCTGTCGACCTACGAGCCCGACAAGCGCCTGGAATCCTGGCTCAAGGTCAAGAAGGACTACAGCACCTCCTCAGAGACGCTGGACCTGATCCCCGTGGCCGGCTGGCACGGCAACGGCCGCAAGACGAAGTGGTGGTCGCCGATCCTCCTCGCGGTCCGCAACCCGGAGACAGGCGGCCTCGAGGCCGTCACCAAGTGCATGTCCGGCTTCACCGACAAGTTCTACCAGGCGAACAAGGACAGGTACGCCGAGGGGTCGCCGAATGTGATCTCGCGGCCCAGCTACATCGAGTACTACGGCGCCCCGGACGTCTGGTTCGAGCCGCAGGAGGTCTGGGAGATGGCCTTCGCGGACATCACCCTCAGCCCAACGTACCCGGCCGCCATCGGCCTGGTGAGCGAGGAACGCGGCCTTAGTCTGCGGTTCCCGCGCTTCCTCAAGGTCCGCGAGGACAAGTCCATCGACGAGGCGACCACCTCGGATTACTTGGCGTATCTGTGGCGGAAGCAGTCTGAGAAGAGTAGATTGGAGGGGGAGCCGCCCGCACCAGCGGACGATGCTGATGAGTAGAGATCCACCTAGGACATGGGCATGACCTAGAATATTCAAACCAGCTATTTGGCGTAGATGAAATGATGACCTTCTGTTTTGGGTATGAATATATACGAGTACAAAAAAAATCTAGACACGAGCAATTCCAACCAAAACTTGACTCCCTCCAACTTCCCCAATATAAACAGCCATAGCATAATACCTAGCCAGGACAGATACTCGATAAGGTAACTCCAGCTAAACCCCCAATTTATCCCAAAATCATTCCCCTTTCACCCTCCCAGAAATACTAGGTACGTACTCCAACTCCCCCCCCCCCCCCCCCAACCAAGCAAAACCAACATCACGTGCCCGCCCACGGGCGCGCGTAGATCACCAAACCACCCTAACCCGAACAAAGAAAAGCTCGCCGACGGCCTAAGGCTAGCAAGCCCCCCATTAGCCCCAAACTAGTCTAGCGCCAACGCGAAATCAACGCGACAGCTTGCTCCTTCACGCGTTTACGGCTGACGCGTTGATTACTTTTTTTTTGTTGGTTCCCCGTGCCGTGGCCTGTCTTTTGCCTTTCCCCGACAACGCAACACCGAGGCAACGCCCTCGCCTACGAATACGATGTTCGGCTGGAAAGGAAATCCTGAGCAGACGTCATTTGGTTTTCTTTTAAGGCCTGAGTGTGGGGGAAGGAGGGGGACTTGGTGGGTTTTTCCCGTCTTGTCTTTCGTCTAATTTAATTAATGTCTGCGAATGGGTTCGTGGATACGTCATCGATTTTCTACCAGGTGAATTCTGGATTGCCTATCGGATTGATTGATTGTTCTTGAGGTTTCTGTCTCTGACATGCGATAAGGACTTCTCTTGAAGGTTGAATACTTCACCGTCAGTGGATATGATGAAAGAAAAAAAGTTATCCTGTGGAAACTTGGAGGCCATGGTATGGTAAGGAAGGTCGAAAATCTACCGATTGATTGGTGGGTCACATGGTTTTTTCGCGCACAAAGGAAAATCATAACCAGGGATCCCTTAGTCGCGACATAGGGAAGAACATGATATGGACAACAGGGATGGTAATTTCAGACATTTGTAGCCCGGTATGGTTTCATCGAGTTAAAAGGGCAATATTGAAGCAGAGAAGGAGCAACACAGCAAAAGGGGGTATGAGACTAGGACAGAAATAGGGAAAATGTGCACATAACAGTCATCAAGAGTCGTAAGTATTAAGCCCGAATTGCATCCGTGTCTGGAAGCGGGCATATACATCCATGGACGATGGGGCTACGGTCGCAACTCCTCCCCGAGTTGCAAGACAGTCGTCGGTCCCTTTGAGCGGATTTTGGGGCTATCCGCCCCTGGTGGTAGCAAGCTGTCCAGGTTGGAGCGCCTGCGGTCTTTATTAGCCAGCGGGGTCCTTGACGGGCCCCCTGGTGTGCGGCCGCCCCAGGCTGGCTGTGCTGGACTCGGCGTCACGTTCACAAAATCAGCGAAATTGAATTGTTGATTTGGAGTGCCGAAGCTGGGAAAGACACCACCCCCGAGGGTTGGGGTCAGCGATGGTAGAACGGCATGCTGGCTGGGGGGTGTCGAAGGAGGAAAATCTCGGGCCTGAGGCTTGCTGACACTGGCTGGCGTGGGAGAGTTGGCAAGGTATAGAAGCAGATCGGCCCCGTCCTCATGGCGTAGATTTCGTTCGTTGCGGGACGAACGGGTGTGCTTGGAAGGGGGAGTGCGCGGGGGGGAGGAGCCCACCATGGAGCTTACAGCTTGGAAGCTGTGGACAGGAAGATCTGGATCATTATCGTCCTCAGACGGCGGAGGATATGCCGGCGATGAATATTCTGGAATCGTAGCTGAATCTGGCATGAAAGGGAGGTGGAGCTGCCGGCCTGCTCGGTGTCGGTTGAAACCCGGAGACGATTCAGGCAGATGATATGAAGCCTTCCAGGAAACTCGAGGTGCCTTGACAGTCTGCTCGGTGATTGAGTCCGACCGTAGACGTTTCCGACTGGCCGACAACATCGGCTGCATCACTCGAGAGTCGAAGGTTGCTGCATGTTTGTTGCGGGACGACCTGGGCAGCTCCTTCGAATAGGACGGATTCGGCAAGGGCGGAGGAGTCAAAGGCGTCTCACTACGACCGTGGGAAATGTCTGACGAGGAATCCGATGGCTTGTCACTTCCCAATGAAGCCTGTCTTCCTCCGTTGACGTTGGGGTCAATAGCATGGAGTCGACCATTCTGGTACTTGACCTTGGCGAGGCCTAGACGATCTTGGAGGTTGAGGGACACCTAGACACAGAAGAAAGCATTCCGTTAGTTGGGTGTCTAGATAATGATGCAGAGGAGCCGTCCAACATTGGAGCTGGTGAATCACATACTTGGGCAATGTCAATTTTTCGAATCGTTCGCTCAGCGGTGGGCGGATGAGTGAGGGCCATTGTTCCGTAGTAGTCTTGACGAAAGCAGGTGTACCGGGGATTTGCTTGCAGGAAACAGGATTGGATGGGGGTGGTCACAGACCACTCGGAGGCTAGTGAGGATGGAGAGGGAGTGAGCCTGGAGTGATGACAGCAGAAAGACAGGGCCCCAGGTAGGTAGGTAATGTTCAAAGCAAGGCCGGCTTGTGACAGAGTTTCAAGCCGGAAGAAGCAAGGCTGGGCTGAGGAGTGGAAGTCTGGGAAGTAGAAGAAGAGGGGACGAAGGGCTGAAAGAACAAGCAAAAGATGGAATCCAATTGGAGGAAGATCGATCGTGTAAAGCCCAGAGAAGTTTAGTCGGTTTCGATGTCGAAGTTGGTTTAGTGAGGAAGTTTAGTCCGTAGTCCGGCCTCAATTGGAGTGAGCACCAACAACAACAACAACCGAGATGAATGGATGAAAGGACTTCTAGAAGCTGCAAAGCTTCTTGTTGACGGACAAACTAATGGGAATTTTGATCGAACTAATGAATGAATGCAGTCGCTGTTGCAGGTGAGAAATTTGCACTGGAAGGTCTCTAGAGTCAACCGTTCGGTGTCGGAAATTCAAAGGGAGGAAAAAAGAGAGGTTTTTCTTTGCAGAGCGGGTGGATAAGCGCCATTCATCCTCCATCCTCCCAATACATCATCCCTTGGCTCGGCCTGGCAACTTGTAACTTACATCAATACAACACGACCACTATCGTCAACCAGCAAGTCTTTTGTACTCTGCCTGCAATCGACAAGAATAGTGACTGGCAATTCTCAATATCTGATTGTCTACATTGAACAGCACTGCACAAATCACCGCCTGGTTAACGACAGACTACGTTACTGGGCCTTTCTGTTGATTCGAATTCATTCTGCCTACCAAGAAATGCCCTTTTGAAGCACTACTGAAACCCAATGTCAATCTCTGAAGCAACGAGTGAGGATATTTGGTCAATTCACAGCCAATGGTACAGTACCCGTTGCGACTATCGGAATGTTCCAGGACTGCAGTCGTCGCCAATCTGGTCAGTTCAATATGCTGAAAGAAAATCTTCCGATCTCTCCATCCATTCATTCCAGTTCCTCCCTTCGTTCTCCCGCCGCCTGTCTAGATACATACATGAGTAGACTCTACCTAGATGCCCAGCTGTCAACCCCAGGCTGCAGGCCCTCTGCTTAACCGGGGTAATTGACCATAACAAAGTATGCTGATGCATCGATGCCAGAGGGCAAACACTGTCTGGTTGCCATGGCCTAGCCGCTGTCTCCGGCGCCCCTCCGCTCTTCAGGTCCCTGCCGCACCCACCGAAGGGGTTCTATGCCCTGCGCTCGGTTTCAGATCATAGCCATCTATCAACATCCGTACAGCGGAAGGGTCCGTAGAAAAGATCTAAGGGTCTGGAACTTGGTTAATCCCTTCTGATACACAGAATAACAACAAGGGTCGGTAGCATCTATCATGGTGGCTGCTCACTCCCCCGACGGGTCCCACTGACCGGCATCTGTGGTTGAATTTGATATTTAGCATGTAGGGCTCCGCGCAGTGACACCTAACATTCTCCTTCAATTCTTATCCTTATTCTCATCCCCGGAAATGTTCTTGCGCCATTGCGGATTTTCCGCGGGCGGAGAATTTCATCTGCTGGTTACTATCGGTTAGGAGTTTACACACCAGAAGAGTTCTGTTCTGCTGGGGCTCCGGAATATGAATCGTCCCAAAAGAAAGCAGGGTTAAGGCTGATGGAGACATCGGGGGGGACTAAGGTGGTGGAGTGCACCCTGTTGTCCTGCAATAATAATCAATCAGGTCGAGCTCTCACGGCTAAGGCCCCCAGTGAGGGACCCAAATAGGAAGAGCTACTCGGAAAGCAAACGAGGAGAAAGAGTACAGAGTACGGGGGGCACAGCCGCTGGGATCACAATGGGAAAGAAACAAGGAACTCGCGAAACATGACGTGGACCTGGTCCGGAACATTGGATTTTGCGAACAGCAGCAGTAGCACCACCATCGCGGAATTGGAGCCGTCTATCAGCAACTTAATGATCGAACAGCTGTCACTTTGGGAGCTTCACTGCAATCCATGTGCATATAGAGGAAAGGCGGTAGGGCTCCAGAGTAAGAGCAGATTGTTCTTTGTAGACAACCACTTATGTTGTGTGCACACTCTGACAGCTGAGGGTGGTGAGGGCGACGGAACAACACAACAATGGGGCTGTTTTCTCAACGGCATGATAAGGGACAAATCTGTCGTTAATTAGGCCGTTCACGGTGGGCTCTTCTCGACTTCTTTAAGACTAGCAGGACCAAATCCAGGTTCTGGGATGGATCTAGTCTCAAGGCTCCATGGAGGCTGGAGCTGGGGGCGCTCCTGGCGCCAAGCTCCCTCTTACCGGCAGGCGCCATCCCGTCTACGTTGGGTTCACCAGCTAAGGTGCGGAACCGCAGTAGTGACCCGGGCGAGCAAAGATGCCTTACGAGCCACGACAGACGGGATTTGCAGAAGAAAAAAAACAACAAAAGAAAAAACAAAAGAAACGCTCCGACAACTTAAGCAGTGCGACATCCATGTCTGGAGCTGAGTAGACAAGACTGTAGAGACGATGTCGTTAGTTAGCCCTTGTGTAAGTGGGGAGGAAATCAGGGGAAT